CTAAACCCTCAACCCTAAATCCCTGAGGCCAAGTACGTGCTGGTGGACAGCGGTACCACCTACTTCACGGCACCCTCGGACCTCCGGCCGCGGTTTAGGGTCTAGGGTTTAGGGCTCTTGGGGATCCGGATGGTTTTAGGGTTGAGAGGTTCCTGAACTACAGACCCCAAGCCCAACCTCCACAAGGCGTCCTGAACCGAAGCCCCTTCCACCTTAGGGCTCGGGATTGGGGTTTTGGGGGATTGGGGTTTAGGGATTAGGGTGCCGGGTTTGCGGTTTAGGGTGTAGGGTGACGCGACTTCAGTGAAACCTCAGCGCCCTGTTCCTCTCGAAGCCCGGAGACGTGAGCCGGCCGAGTCAAGAAGGAGCTGGAGGCCTCAAACCAAACTCAAAAAATCCTAAGCCCCCAAATGCCGGGAAAGAGCGGTTTTGGGTTTAGAGTTCAGGGCCAAACTCAGAATCATCAAATGTCCAGGAAAGAGGAGCTTAAACAGAAAGCCCCTCCGCGCGAAGCTCAGGAGATGTACTACAGCATCATGAAGCACTTCCCCGAAGCTGCCTGCAGCGCCTCGGAGAGCATCTTGCGGGAGGGTTTTGGTGTGCAACGGAAGCTTCCCAGCAGCTTCCTCTTCTCGGATTCCCATTTCCCGTTTGGACATGGGGGAAATAGCCGGAAGGGAGCTTGCGGTTTGTGAAGAGGCTCTACTTTGTGGCTGGTATTGAAACCTTTGAGGGTGGGGGAACGCAGTGTCTTCATGCGGTTCTTAGGCGGACTGATGGACACGTCGAGGTGCGGGAGTTGGGAGGGACGGGGACCAAGGAACATGAACAGGAAGAACCTGTTTGCTTCTGGTTTAGGACCGTCTAGGAGTCTGCATCTTTGTGCGAGCGGTGCGCAGGACACTGGTTGAGGCTTCGACCCGGCATGAACCGGTAGCCCCGACGAGAGCAAACGAAAACGGGAAAAACTTCTGACGGAAGTCGACCCTGCAAACCACCAGCACGTGACAGACCTGTGGACCAGAAATCGTGGTAGCTTGCTTTCACTGAGTGTCCTTCCCTCATACTGCGACAAGAGCATCAGTGCCCGATCCGGAGCTCGTAATGCGAATGGCAAATGTTTTCGCTTAGGTGATGTGGAGGACTACCCGCCGATTCAGTACGTCCTGCGCAGCGCCCACAACCAGACCTTCACATTGGAGGCATGGCAGTGTCAACGGGAAAGCAAATGATGCGTACGAGCATTTTGCAGTCATTTCCGTGTTCTGCTTGGATGCGTGCTGCGAGCACATTGCAGAAAACCTTTTTGCGGCCTGAGCCGGGGCAGCGCGGCCAAAAGGCTAAGAAAGCACTGCTGACTTTTAAGAGTCTTGCAGATAGCAGGTGTCGGAACTAGCTTTTGTCAGGTGAGCCAGGAGACCTACATGGCTGCTCGGCTGAATGCAAAGGGCCCTTCAACTGCTTGTTGCAACGGAAAGTCGGCTTTCGATCTCGCATTCGAGATGGGTCAATGCAGGCATGGCTTCTGCAGTGCATTCTGCCTCCTATGTGGCGGTTCATCAGAACTGTCTGCGTTGCCGGAGACATTTCACTTTGAACGAGTTTCGGTTGATCTTGTAGCTTTCCGCGTGCTTCACCTTTCCTGTGGTTCAACAGGTTCACGTTTCAGTGTGTCGTGGTCTCAGGGCTCAGACATCCCGCCGAGCCTCAGAAAGCCGACAACCCGAGGTCATGGACGAGTACGATTCCTGCCGCCCGGCCTTCATGAAGCTGGACATCAAACGAAAATCCTATGGACCTGCGATGATCCTGGGTGAGGCCTGAACTTGCTATCGTTGCTGCTACAGCGGTACTACAAGTAGGACTAGATGATGATGGCCACTACTGTGGGCTGCCCAGCTGATATCGCTCAAAACAAATTCTAGCCTTGCACTTGTGTGCATGCCGTGTTTCTTGTTGTTGCTGTTGCCATCCCTGTTGCTGCAGTTACTAATATTCCTGTGCCGTTCTTCCCAGTCGTTTTCCCTGCATGTGGCATATTCTGAACGTGGCGGGGAGGGGGCATGGTCGGGGTTTTCATGGCACGGGGCTGTTCCTAAATCTCCTTTTAGTTTTCCTTCGATCAGTGCCACTTAGGATCAGAATCAGTTTTTGCTATCACGCTTCCTGGGCTGTTGCAGCTATCCTGGGTGTCTTTGTGTGAGATTGTGCTTTGTCGCTGGCGTTGGTGTGGAGCTTCGTTTGTTTCTCCTGCAGGATGCCCCTGATCAACATCCCTGCATCGGAGGAATTGATATCCTGTTGTTGTTGTTGTTGCTACTGCTGCTGCTCCTGCTCCAGGTCTGGCTCCTGTTCCGGGTGCTGCTGCTATTCCCCACTCACTGCTACTCCGTGCGGTTGTGGTGGTTGCTGCTGCTGTCCCTGTGCGTTTACGTTGTGTCGCATTTGCGACCGACTGATGTCCTATCCGGGCGGCAGGTCTTCATGCGGCATTTTTTTACGGTGTTCAGCAGAGGGGCAAGGGCCCCAGCAAAAGCGGCTGTTATCGGCTGCTGGTCATTATCAGCATGCTCCTTACCGATGTTTCATGTTCTGGAAATTCGCACGTTACAGGCTCCGCAAGAATCCATAACCCTTTACTTTGTAGGGTTGAATGTGGGCTCCTTGCCCAGCACAGGCATTTGGGGTATGAAGCGGTGTATGCTGCTGTCTGGGTTTGTGGTGGCTTTCATTGCGACACGTTGGAACTCAGAAAATAGTTCCATCTCTGGCTTTTACAATTCTTTCACAACCCCATGCGCATACTCAGACCCTTTGCGACTGCCACGACTCGCTCAAACCCTCCAACCCCCAAGCTTGACGAACAAAAAGCGGGCCGCAGCAAGACCCCAAGGCTTTCGTGAACGGCAACCTCAAACGCAATTTTGTTGAACAGCTCCCAACCCAAAGCCCTCTCCAAAGTGCTTGGAACCCGAAAAAGCCCTGGGCTTACACCCCGAAAGTCCCCACCTTGCAAGCCGAAACGGCCGGTAGGGTTTAGCCCGACCATCCCCAAATCCTGCAACCCTACATCTCTTAAATCCTGAATCCCAAACCACCGGTAAGCCAAAAAGAGCCACACCATAGAGGTCTAAATAATAAGTAAGCAAGTGGAGGTCCTGTTCGTGTAGTCCCTGAAGAATCATACTCCCACAGAATACCACATACACAAGCCACCCGCTACCTTTCGAACTCAAACAAGCCCCGTTCCACCTCAAAGGCCCCAAGCCCTTCTAAGGCAGCACCCAGAAGTAACGCTTTAGGGTTTTAGGGTTTAGGGTTTAGGGTAAAGTTATACGACAGCATACACCCAAAAGCCAAGCTGTAAAGGCCCCCAAACCCCAAAAAGCCCTAAACCCTAAACCCTAAAACCTGAACCCCAAACCCAACAAAACCCTAAACCCTAAACCCTAGAGATCCTACGCCCCTTTAGCCGTTTAGCCCCCCCTCTTTACGCAGCTTCCCAGAGACTCCAATATCCCTTAATTAAGGAATATAAGTTAAATCATACTAAGGATCCTACTATAATTTAAGGTATATTCCTTTATTAAGGGATATTGGAGTCTCTGGGTTCCGAGGACGGAAGCCTCGGCGAGGCGAAGGTGGGCTTCGCGCGCGCGAAAGCAGGCGCGCCCTCTTTGTAGCTCCCGGGGATGAGGGGTTCCATTGAAAGTGAGGGGTTTGGGGTTTAGGGTTTAGGGTTTAGGGGTTTGGGGTTTAGGGTTTCGGGTTTAGGGTTTAGGAAAGTTAGGGGTTTGGGGTTCTAATGACTACCACTGCTATTTTTGGGGTGGGTTCCTTGTGATATTTATAGCATACTGGGCCCGGAAACCTTATTCACAATTATCAAGGCTTCGAATGGGGATCTCGAAGGGCTCCTTCAAGGGATCTACATGGGCTCCTTTACGGGTTTATGGTTTTGAGGTTTTATGTCACCATAATGGGGATATACCGTAAATAGCAGGGTTTCCTTATTATTCATTATTTTTAGCCTAGTTTGGGTTCCTTAACAGCAAATCCAAGTGAGGGATTCCTTTGGCGTTTAGGGCTGGGAGGTTTGGGGCTCAAGGGTTTAGGGTT